CCCCAAAACCCCAAAACCCCAAAACCCCAAAACCCCTTTAGACATTTTTAAGGTAGAATATGGTTAATAGAGGAAATTAGACAATCAGGAAGCCATCATACTCTGCTTCATTGTTCTCATTCATTTCAATCAGATCGTCATTCAGGTCTTCTTTATTAGACAAGAAGTATTTGATCAGCTCTTTGTACTCTGGTATGGTGAATACATAGCTACAGACCTCTTCTTGGTCTTCATAATTATCAAAGAAATACTTAGTAACGAAGAAGTATAAGTCTTTGTTCTCAGTGTGGTGGAGTTCATCTTTGACACCTTTATACACACTCCATGGGATTTTTCCAGCAGAAAATCCTTCCTTGCAAATCTTAGTGAATAAAGCTTGGAAGAAGTCAGGGCTCTCCAATCCCCAATTTACAAGTTCACCCACAAAGAATTGAGTGTAGAATTCATTCTTGAACAGTTCAGTTAAGGAAATGTTGTTTTTCAGAATGCAGAGCAAGAAGGGACGAACAACAGAGGTTCTCTTCTGGGTCTTTTCTGCTACAGATTTGACATTGTTAGTGAAGGTCTCAAGAGAGGCAAATGTAATCTGCAAGATCTTTTTGAACTCAGGAGTTACTTGCTCTACTCCATTGCTAAAGCAAGTATTATTATAAACATCGGTGAACATATTCATTGCGCAATCCATTGCGATTTCTAGATTCTCTGATTTTGGAAGTTTGTTATTAAAAATCTTCGAAGCGTAAATCAGAATCTCGTCCAAATATTTCTTCCATACTTCAGAAGGGAGGCTATATCCCTTGGCAAATGACAGATATTGTACATATTTGTGTATATTTTCATTGTGCTGGATCCCCTTCTTGAGGAATTCAAGAACTATTACCTCCAATTCTGACAGAGTTATGACGATTCCTGCTTCAACTAGCATATCAAGAGTGACAGAGAGGCTCTTGAAATGCCTGCTTTTCCATCAGCATAGCAGAAGTCTTTCTGTTGAGATTGGATCATCTGTCATTAACTCAGAATGTTGGATTAAGTAAAGCACGGCATGATCCAGAGGCCTCTGCTTTATCATCTTGCGGTATTTATTCAAGATATTTTCCTTCATTTTCTTTAATCTTTCATCATTCGCACTTAGAGGTTGGTCTTCGTCTATAAAATTGTATTAGAAATTCGCCAGGAAAATATAGGATAAAATTAACCACTAATATTCCGACAGATAAGGAAGAAATAAATAATATGCAATTTTCTCTGATATTCTGGACTTTTTGGACAGATTAGGTTTTGTCAAAGGGAGAAAGGCTACTTAAGAGTCTCAACTAATGCGCCAACAGAAAAGTGTTGTATTCTCACCTATTTTCTCAGTCTTGATGTTATTGATCTCCTTTTCAAGATCAAAGTTAGGCATGAGCTTGCTCATCTGACTCTTGATCTTTTGGACTTGCTCATAGTTTTCCCAGGCTTTTTCAACCTTGGAGCTGAACTTCTTCACAGCTTTGCTGGAGGGATTTTTAAGTTCCATTCGAAACACTTGTGATATTTTATATTTCAAAATTATAGCTTTAAAAGGGGTTTTGGGGTTTTGGGGTTTTGGGGTTTTGGGG